GGGGGGGAAATGGCACTGGGGACTCCCACCGTTCTGCGCATGTGTGTGTGCATGGGGGGCACCATTTTGGAAACCAAAATGGTGCCCTGTGTCATGTGTGCATGTGCACAATGGCGGAGCACCATTTTGGCAGCCACAGGGGTCCCCCAGGAGGGCTCCCTCGACTACGCCAGGCCTCGGAGAGGCCCAGCACGGCCATGGGGGCCCCCCAGGAGGGCTCCCTCGACCACACTGGGGGTCCTCCGGGGTGCCATTTCCCATCACGGGGCAGGACAGGAAAGTTCAGGACACAACCTTTCCCATCACAGGGCAGGACAGGAAAGTTCATGCGAAACTCCGGGCACCATTTTGGAACATAAAATGGCACCCTGGAGGACCCCCACGGCCGCGAAAGTGGTGGCGGCGGCAGCGGCGGCAGCAGGACTGGGCAGGGGCCGGTCGGAAGGCCTCGGCAGGCTGGGTGCAGCCCACGGGCCGTAGGTTGCCGACTCCTGATCTAGAGGGACAAAGTTTGGGAACCACTGCCATAGAACTTCCTTGTTCAGAGCAGATCCTTCAAGGTTAAGATGGGTTCCTGGAAGTATTTATGATCCTAACAATAGCACCATGATTGTAAATATGGAGCATATCTAAATACAAAGCAAAATACAACAAAATCCATAATCCACAAAATAGTGATAACTTTACTGGGCCAACTAAAAATTACAAAATACACCATGCAAGCTTTTGAAGCTTCCCTGGATTCTTCAGGTGCATCTATGCTGTAGAAATTATGCAGTTTGGCACCACTTTAAGTGCATCCTATGGCATCTTGGGATTTGTCATTTTACAAGAGCTTTTGCCTTCTCTGACAAAAATTACTGATGCTTCACAAAACTACAAATCCCAGGATTCTGTAGGATGGAACCATGGCAGTTAAAGTGGTGTCAAACTACAGGGTAGATGCATCCTTTGTCAGGGAAAGATGTTAAAATCATGTAGAATAAAAGTAATAATGTTAGAAACACAGGCTTACATTTTGTTTCAGATGTTACTTTTGTTGTCAGTTAAGATGGCTTGGAGGGATATGAATACAGGCAGAGGCCGTTCTCCTTCTTGGTCATGGGTGGGGGGAAAGAATTTCAATGGTCTCTGCCTACGAAAGAGGCAGTTAGCTTTGCACGTGATAGAGATAGCTTAGATCTCAGTGGAAGTTACTTTGCTGCTGCTGCTGCTAAATAGATTTGAAATTATATTACCTTTGTTTAACTGCCCATCATCCCCAGTCCCTACATGACCAAGAACAGGAGTGGCCTCTGCCTGCACTGATATCCCTTTGTGTATGTTGTGTGCCTTCAAGTTGCTTCCGACTTATGGTGAGCCTATCATGGGGTTTTCTTTTCAAGATTTGTTCAGAAGAATAACTTTATTGCTTGGCGTTTTAAAATAACTCAAGCCTCCTGGGCTTCAGCCAGAAGGCGGAATGGAGGCAGGGATTATCGTAAGCTAAATCGCCACTGAATTGCTGGCCATCATCAGCCTAAATCCAAGCCAGGCTTAGCCGCTGCTTTTTAAAAGCCAGGACACTATCACTTTTCTTGTCCTGTGTGATTTTTAGCATCTTTGCCTCATGAAGAAGTCAGTGTAGCTTTGAAAGCTTGCATGGTGTATTTTGTGCTCTTCAGTTGGACTAATAAAAGGTATCATTGTTTTGTGGATTTTGGATTGTGTTGTATTTTGCTGCTTGGCTAACACAGCTACTCCTGAATATGTTTCCTGAATACAGAGCAGTTACAGACCCATACCTCTGAAGTGCAAAACATACTGCAGAAATAATCCAGTTTGACACTGCTTTAACTGCCCTAACTCAGTCTAGGGATTTCTTGGAACTTTTGTGAGACATTTAGCCTTCTTTGTCCAAGTCCACTTGAAAGAGAGAAACATAAGAAAAGGAAGCAGAGGACTTGAAATTGGCACTTAACAATTGGCACCTTGACTGCAGTCTGAGCAAGTACATGGGTCACCCAGTTGTAGTCTTCCTGACTATGGGGAGATGTCTTGTTTTTCTATTTAAATCATAGTAATTAATTCTAAATGATAATTCTAAATTATAGTAATTATTTCTAAATCTAGGCATAAAATTAGCATATGCAATTTTTCTGCTAATCAGTGCTCTCTCTCTCTCTCTCTCTCTCTCTCTCTCTCTCTCTCTTTGTCCTCTTTTTTGTTGATATATTTCCTCACTTTTGGCACTTCATGAGATACCTCTCCTAAATCCTGGCCTGTCCTCACTCCTAGTACAGCCACCAGTTCTCCCTCATTTTTCTTGAGCTGAGTATTTTATTATTCTGATTTGCAGCCTGCTGCACTTCTCCTCTGTCTTTCATATGCCCACTGGTGTTTTATGATTTTAATTTCCATATTAGCAAGCTTAGAAAGGAATTGTACTATATGCATGTTGCAAAAATATAATAGTAGGAAAAATATTGGTGAATATTCTAGATCAGCTATTTAATTCAGTATATTTAACTAAGTGGTGCCTCCTGACCCAAATGCTCCCCTCTATCCTGACTTACTGGACAAAGCTGCTGTGAGTGACAAAGATCTGGTTGCCTGTTGATCAGGATGCAGTAGATAAAGCTGTCCACCCCTCTTCCACCAGTGATCTCTGGTGCAACAGTCAGAAGAAGAATCCCTGTTGCAATTCTTCCTTGTACTGGCGGTCCCTAGTGAGAGAGGGGTGGAAACATGAGTCTGCTGAATCTCAATTAATAGGAGAGCATATCACTGTCACCCCCTTTATCTTCTACCTGGTGAGTGTCCAGGAAAGTGGCCAAGTATGCTGATAGCCATAGTCAAAGCAATACAAAATAAAACAGTGTGCAGAGCTAATGCAGTCAAGAGTTCTGTGCACACAGTCATAAAACAAAAATCTCGTAGCAAGGGTACAACCAGATGACATCCAGGGTTCCAGAAAGAGATGATTTGTGTAGGCAATCCAAGGTCAAGGAGTCCAGAGAGACAAGGCAAACCAGCAATCTGAGCAGCAAGGTTTCCAGCCAAGAAGACAAAGAGAGTCAGGATCAAACGTGCTTTTACTAGGAAGCTCAGATAATCTCTGACAACTATTCTGGTGTCCGGCACCTGTTTATATTATCAGACTGCAGGTACTCAGCTGTTGTTGATTGCTCAGCGTTTTTCATAAAGCCTCCTCAAGTGCCAGAGGCCGTCCCTTTCCGCTCTTCATTGGTTGAAGGTAGTTACAGTCCCTTCTCCCTCCTCCATGCCTGAAGACTCTGCTGCCAGGAGGTTTGGCTGCTGGGCCTCCTTGGGGGCCACAGACTCTGCTGGAGCTGGCAGGGCAGAACTAGGGCCTAACTCAGCTTCAGGATCAGGTCCAAGTTGAGGCTAGCTCAGCTTCTTCATCCTCAGAGTCCTCAGCCAAGCTGGGCATGACACTGGCCATGATAGTGAGTCAGCATTGGAAGAACTTTTATGAACCTTACATATTCCCTGAGCCAGCATGGCATAGTGGTTTGAATGCTGGACTATGGCTCTGGAGACCATGGTTCAATGCCCAGCTTGGGCATGAAACCCACTGGGGCAAGTTGCATGCTCTCAGCCCCAGGGGAAGGCAATGGCAAACTTCCTCTAAAAAAAATCTTGCCAAGAAAACCCCATGATAGGATTGCCTTAGGGTTGCCATAAGGTGGAAATGGGAAGGCACACCACCACCACCACAACAACAACAACAAATTGAATAGATAGAAATCATGAATATGGATCAGTTACAAGTTATAAAACTTGTTACAAAAATGGATGATAGAAAAGACACTACAAGTAATAAAGAAAAGAAGAGAAGAAAAAGCAAAAGGCAGATAGGAGCAAACTAAGAATTATGAATGCAACAGTACAACGGTTTGTGCGGCAAAATAAAGAAAATTACTACAACGACCAATGCAGACAAATAGAATACATAATAAAAGGGACATAATAAAAGAACAATGCAGACAGACACTTTCAATAAACAAAAAGAAAGAGAAAAAGCCATGGATGACATAAAAAACACTACAAACAATAAAGAAGAGAAGAGAAGAAAAACAAAAGGGAGATAGGAACAAAGTAAGAATTATGAATGCAACAGTACAACACCTTGTGTGGAAAGAGAAAGAAAACTACTACAATGACCAATGCAGAGAAATAGAAGACAACAAAAAGGGAAGAACAAGTGATCTATTTCACAAGATCTGGGAAATCAAAGGAAAAACCAAGGACTGTGAGGCTCTATGACAATAAAAACATAATTCAAGACCAGGAAGGAATAAAAAGATGCTGGATGCAATATACAGAATAATTATACAAAAGAGATGACAAAATGAAGGACATATGAATATGAACCCCAAATTCTAAAAAGTGAGGTGGAAACTGCAATAAGAGAAATAGTGAAAAACAAATCACTAGGAACAGATGATATTCCAACTGAACTGCTGCAATCCCGTCAACTCTAGTGCTAACCAACATATGTCAACAGATATGCAAAACAAAATGATGGCCAACAGATGGGAAGCAATCAATATACATCCCCATCAACAAAAAGGGAGACACAAGAGACTGCAGCAACTATAGGACCTATAGGATTTCTATAGGTCTCCCACATAAGCAAGATCTCCCACATAAGCAAGATCATGCTCAAAATTCTGCAACATACACTCCAAACATACATGGAAAGAGAGATCCCAAAGGTCCAAGCAGGGTTCAGGAAAGGAATAGGCGCTAGGGATCACACTTCAAACATATGGTGGCTAATGGAGCACACCAGGGAATTCCAAAAGAAAATCAGAATGTGCTTTATAGACTATAGCAAAGTCTTTGACTGCACAGACCATGAAAGTCTATGGAACGCCCTTCAAGACATGAGAGTACCAGCACGTCTGATAGTCCTGATGAGGAATCTGTACTCAGGACAAGAGGCTACTGTCAGAATAGGACATGGAGAAACAGAATGGTTCCCAGTTGACAAAGGGGTTGGACAAGGCTATATCCTTTCATCCTATCTGTTCAACTTGTATGCACAACATATTATAAGAAAAGCAGGATTGAACACAGAAGAAGGAGAGAAAATAGTAGGAAGGAATATCAATAATCTGAGATATCTGTAATCTTCAATGACACCATAATACTAGCGGAAAACCTCACAGACCTGGGGAGCAGCAAAAAGGAGGATCGGTGCCACAGTGTGTAGTTGCTGCGGTCCCAAACCGGCACTCCCAGGGGCAGCTCTGTGCCATCCCTTTCGGACCATCTGCATTGGCCTAGAGAGAGAAGGAGTTAATAAACAAAGGCAGGTTTTGTTTTGTAGAACTTGAATGAGGATTGCATGAGGGGAAAAGGGACAAAAACAAAGAGTAGAAAGAGAAGAAAAAAGGGTTGTAAGTATGAAATATCCAATTTTCTGCACAGTACAAGTACATTCTCCAGTTCGGATGGCTTAACTTATGGGATGGGGAGCAGGATCCTGAAATAGGGGTAGAGACAAGAATGTCGGGGGGGGGGGAGGAATAATTCAGGGTCTGGTCTGGCACCTGGTTTTTCACACTGTCTATCTCCCTCCAGAATAAGCAAATGAATAAATACACTACAATCTAAATAGGTCTACTGAGAAGCAAAATTCATTGGGTTTGCTAAGACTAGCTACAGAGGATGGCAATGGTACACACACCCCAAGAAACTTAAAAGCTAAAATCATTAAGGCTTCATCCACATTGCAGAAACTATCCAGTTTGACACCATTTTAATTGCCATCACTCCATGCTGTGAATTCTGGGAAATGTAGTTTGTTTTGACACCAGAGTAGAGCTCTGACAATTGAGCCATGGCAATTAAAATGGTATCAAATTCTGTAGTTCAAATGCAGCCTTAGTGTTTGCAGCTTTTATTTTGGAATGTACTCTATTTGGGGGGAATGTTCTCCATTTGGCATTGCCTTGTCCTCCTTTCCCTTGCAATTTAAATAATATCAGTATAGACATAAATATACATTTATTTCATATGGTTTATTTACAACTATATGACATACACTGAATTTTATTATACACTCAACCGCATTTTTCTGATGAATTTAACTTTGTTAAAAATGCCTTGTTGGCTTGCAGTATACTTGTAAAACTCTGAATAAGAGAAAGGCTTAGAAATGTACATTACTAGCCACCAACCCTTGACTGAATCTTTGTTGATGCTGTTGTTGTTGTTGTTGTTGTTGTTATTGTTGTGTGCCTTGAAGTTGTTTCCAATTTACACACACCTTAAAGAGAACCTAGCATGGGGTTTTCTTGTCAAGATTTGTTTGTCAGTGCCTTCCTCTGAGGCCGCAAGAGTGTGACTTTACCCAGTGGGTGTCCATGGCCAAGTAGGGATTCGAACCCTGGTCTCCAGCATCATAGTCCACCATTCAGACCACACCGACTCATGCACATAAACCTAGGACCCATTAAAATAATCCAACATAAAATATCTAATTTTAAAATGCATACATTTCAACCTTCGGTCCAGGAAGAATGTCAAAATCTCCTCCATTTTGAGCATGACTGAGAAGGATGAATTTATATTAATTTTTTATTTTATTAATGTTTTTAGCTTTTAGTTGGTCATGTCCTCCATTTTTCTCGAATGTCCTAAATTTGGTCTTATATTTTTCCTACATTTTTCCTACATTTTGTCCTGGTTTTGTGGAAGAGAATTATGGACACCCCAACTATAAACCTACATGAATGCCACCCCAGCCTACTTAAGAGCCAGCCTACAGACCTGGCAAAGGAAGTCCATTCAGCCCCTGAATGAAGCATAAGGAGAATTGTGTTTTCACCCCCTCCTGTAGTGAGCGAGGCTGCATCAGTCAGAAGCAAGACCTCTGTTGCAAGTCCTTGTGGCATCCTTGGTCACTGCAGGGAGGGGATTGAAATTTGAAAACATCAACCTTCTTTCTTCCTGATCTGAATCTGAATATATTTCCTTTGCTGGGTGTGGCAGCTGGTTCTTAAGATGGGGCAGGGGCAGGCCAGAAGATATTACTTATGTAGCTCATACAGGATACCAATGGACATCACCATTCTCATCATTATTTGGTGCAACCAGGAGAAGAGTTTAATCTGGGAATGTTTTATGTCACCACAGTCCATGTAAAACTTTTACTTGTTTGCTTGCTTGTTTGCTTGCTTGCTTTCCATTCCTTTCCTTTGGCAGTACATTCTTCTTCATTTCTGACTCCCCAGTATGACAAATCTGCCTCACATTGTCCTTTCCCTCTTCCTCATTGCAGCTCTTTCCCAAGTGTCCAGAGAGGATATTCAATTGTATATGCATTTTCCCCTCTGTAGAGACTCCATGCTATTGTGTTGCTTCTTCACAGGCAAACCGCAACATAACAATAGTCATATTGAAGGGCGATTAACTGCAGGGACAGTGGGCCCCAGCGCAAACAATGAAAGATCTTGAGCACTGAGAACAGCATTGATTCCAAGAACGAAACAAAAGTTTGACACCATTGGAGAAAGGAGGAGTGGAAGGTAGGGGAGAAAAAAAAGGTTGTGACACCTCTGGCATGTGAACAATTTACATGCCATTAATGTACGTGGCTTGCATGCTACAATTAGGACAGCATTTAAATAAGTGTTAGCCTTGGCAGTCTGTGTATTATCACGCTGAATTTATGTCACCTCCAAGGTAAAGAGCAACTTCGCATTGTAACACGCACAGGTAGTATAATGTGTCAAGTACATTTTCAGCAGCACATTCAGGCGGTGGGAAGGGGAAGAGAGTGATGTTTTGCACAAAGCCTGGTTTGCTTTCTTTCATCATCTCCTTTCCCACCCTCTTCCACCCATTCTGATATGTTCCTCAAGACCCGTTATCCCCAGCCCTTTGCCTGGAAGGCAGTGTTCATTTTATTTTATTTTTATTTTTACACCTTTCTTCTTGCACAATTGTTCTTGTTTTTTAAATATAAAGAGTTTCCTTCAAAACAAAGGAAGAAGTGTGGTACAGGGAGAACGTGCATGAAAGAAAAAAGGAAATAAAAGTATATGGAACTGTACATGTATATTTAAAACACATAAATCCCACTTTACCTTTAAAAAATCCAAGGTTGCTAACAAAATATGAATCCCACATGGCAACATCAAGGCGATGACTTGCATTGACAGCAATGCCTGCCCTGCAAACTCCTTTTTCAGAAAAAAGTAAATTGGTATTTACTCAGATGTGACTCTCCCTGTGTTCATTGTGTGTAAGACTGTAGTCTCCGCATTGTAACCATAAGATTTTAGTTCAGAGGACACTGGAGTTGGAAGAGATAGAGCTGGTAAATGTTACTTTTTAGGATCACAATTACTGAGACATTCTGCAAGATGTAGTCCCAGATAATGCTACGCTATTATAACCACTCTCTGGTCTGTTGAGATAGTAAAATTTTATTTCATAATGTATTGCTGTTGTTTATTCCACTGTCTGTTTCCCCAGTATAGGCAGCATGTTGTAGTGGTTTGAGTATCAGACTACAACCCTGCAGGCTTTCATGGTAGTGGGAAGGTGAAT